GTCTATATTTAAATAAACATATATTTTAATATATAAACAAAACCAAGGAAACTAGAACAGGAGCTAGATGGACAAAGGATCTCAGGTGATATATTAGACCATTTAAGGTGGGCAACTATAAAGCAGTGACTTGCCAATAGTCACATAGGGAAGTCTGTAGCAGAGGCAGAAGCAAATTTAGATTTCCAGAACACTAATCTTAAGGCTACCTGTCTCCCCAGTCATTGTTGTGTCCCCCGACTCCAAACTAACTAGCTTTCTTCCATCTCTGCTTGAATTTCTTGCAGAGTTTCTGTAAACATTTCTAGTTCCAGGAATTAAATGTCATTTTCTTCTTCCCCTACCTTAAATGAAGTCGTCTTTTTAACAGCTGTCATTTCAGTAATGAGACTGCCTTCTGCAGTCTGCAAGTAGATTTCAATCCTAAGTTTTAACCCATGTAAAGCAACAACATGCCTTCAGCAATTCCTGAGGGTGCTTCTAAAATACGTTAAAATGTGAGGGGGGCAGTGAGGTATTAATGTCACTTTCAATTTTTTTCCATGTTTTTTCATCACGATTGAAATAATACATAAAGCTAGCAGCATTGAAACATTATCTGTTGTGCGGCTAACCACAACAGAGGGGTTATTTTAATGAAATTGTACTGAGGTAACAACTTCTGTGTCCGAGTATAGGTTTTTAGCAGCCTTTATGTATTTAATGCCTTGAAGCCAGTGTCCCACTGTAGATGATACCCATTGACAAAGACAGTATATATTGTAAGGTTTCATTACAGAGCTCTAATCCCTTTTTGGTGAACTGACTCTCTTTAAAAACAAAAATACAGCTGGACTGTGCCATAACAAGATGCTCTGTGTTTTTTTTCTTCAGGTGAAAAATGTGTTTTGTATGAAGGCAAAGGAAGGCAGAAAAAAATCAGTACGTGCATTAGTGGCTATTGGAAATGGTAAAGGGGCTGCAGGTATGTGTGTTTACAAATTAATCATTGTTTGTAATAGGACTTCATGAGGCATGGTGATTTAAAGGGACTTTTTTATACTTAAAAAAAAAAAAAAAAGGAAAATTTACCCTTTTTTCCACTGGGCAATATTGAAATACCTGTAAGAATTTTAAGTTTCATCTGTAAAAGTAAGCTTTATAATCAAATTATGTATGTATTCATTTGAACACTTTGTTCTGTATAAAAAAAAAAAAGAAATTGGGAAAAGTAGTAATATGTAATTAGATTTGAAGAATATTATTATCCAGTGGTAAAAACATTTTTTATTTAACTCTAGAGTAATCACTAGAACTAATCACTGGTAGATCCTACCAGAAGGGATCATCTATGCTTTCCTGTACACACTGTTTCTTTTTACTGTAGATACTATTTATGTTTAAAAAAAAAATCAACACCTGAAAGTATTCAGCCATGCTTATCTGCATTTGTTTCACCTAGCCTTAGGCACCCAGCTGCAGAGTATAGTTGTTTACTCTCAAGTCAAAGAAAAGAATTGGGCACCTGCAAAAGGTGCCTGGAATTGCAGGTGGGCTGACATGCACCAGGAAGTATTCATCCCCTTGCACTGATGGTGGAAGAAAACTCAGCTGAGTGCGATCTTCACAGAGGTGCCTGTGCTTGACTAAAATGAATCAGGGCCTCCATGGTTAGTAGAGCAGATAGAGTCATAAGGAAGTAGGATTCAGTGGATGTGGATTTGTCTTTCTGGTTTTTAAAATCACTTTCATGTTGTTGGGGTTCTTGGGGTTTTATTTTCATTTGCTCTAATGGCGGTGACCACTTTGCAGCAAAGGGCAGCATGACTGGTTGTGCGTTTTTCTGGGTTATTTTCTATTTTCTGGTCTATTTTCTATTTGGTGCTAATATTTCTAGGTAGAATTAATATAAATCTGGATGATTTTTTTTTTCTCTCTAAGTCTCAGGGGAGTCCCTTGGAAGTATTACTGCTTTTAGTTAAAAAGGGCTTGTTTACTGGTAGTCTCAGCTAGCATCTTGATTCAGAAATTCGTAATGAATCTGTCAAATCAGAAGACCCTAAGTTTTCCTACTGATTCAGCCTCCTTAGGAAGCTTTCTTGTTTTATTGAAGTTAATCAGAAAAAAAAAAATCCACTTTATGGGCTTCCTACAAATACCGCATCTACACTTTTAAGGAAAAATAGAATATTCAGGGCCCTTTGAGTCTGGTCTCATAGTAACTTCAGTGATCTGTGGCTTGACCATTTGTAGGCTTTCTCCATTATGACTCTTTATAATGGTCTCTTCAGCAAGCAATTTGAAGTCTAACCATAGAAGTGCTGTCTACGGCATAGAGTAAATAGGACAAATCAAAAGAAACATAAGGTTATGAAGGATCTTCTAATACAAGCTGTGGAAAGAGACCTTTTTCCTTTTCTTTCTCAGCAAGGACTGAAGAAAGAATACTGGTCAGAGGTGTTCAGTTTAGTTGTGATTTCCTTGTAATGGAACTCTAAGCAGTTATGCATGCAGGGTAGTGATGACCAAGCTATCTCTAAAAGCAATCAAACCATCTCAGTGCAGCATCTAACTTGGATTAACTAGCCCTGGATCCCAGCTGATATCATGGTACTGCTTCATATGTTAGTAAGATCACTCACAGGAAAGACACAGATGACAGATACCTGACATGTTGTGCCATGTTTCTCTCCCCAGAGGTTTGGAAAACACTGCAATAAGCAATGACAATTCTTTCTTAAAGTGAAGTGTTTAGCAATCTTGGCCAGAAGAGCCTTTGAGTTGGTCAGAATTGGTCTTTACAAAATGAGGAGAAAAGAATTCACTCTACTGCAGCTTTTTACAGGGTTGTATGCAACGTAAAAAGTTGCAAGAAAAATTCTTAGTTGAATCAGTTATTGCTGTTGATGGGAAACTCAGTGTAGAGAAGGCTGAAGTAGTTTTAATAACTCAGTGTAGAGAAGGCTGAAGTAGTTTCTGTGTTGTGGTTGCAAATTTTCTAAATGAGCAGGTGGCATTTAAAAAAAAATGAACAACCAGCCAACCAAAAGAAAACAGACAAGGCTGACAAGCACATATTAGTACTTCAGTGCAATGGTATAGCCAGGTATTGGATATATATTGGATATTACTGGATATATAATACTTAACAACATTACATACTGCTAAAGCAAAAGGAGACATTCCATGATGAGGTGGTCACTGTCACTGTCTTTTAAAAAAAAACAAAACCAAAAAACAAAACTGTCACTGTCTTTTTAAAAAATCTGTAAAGGCTAGCAGATATTCCCAGAAAGGTGTATTTTCTCTTAAGGATTTTCTGTTTCACTTTGTCAGTTACAAAAGTTATTGGGCATCCTTCATTTGACGGTATGTGCTTTGCTTTTGGTAGCCAGCTTTTGCGATGGGTCAGATTCCAAGACAGCATTAAAAAAGATAATGCTAATACCACTTAATTGTAAAGGCATCCATAAAGGAACTATGCAGCCACCCTGTACATTTCTCCTGTAATGTCTGCATGAAATTCATGAGTCAGTGTTGGCCAATGGGTCCAATCCCATTGATTTTTGGATTAGGCTTTTGGATACAGGTAACCCACAGCCCCAGCTGACACAACAGAAACATCAAAGGACCAAAGAAACTAGATCTGCTGATCTGAAGTTAAACAATTTTAATTCAATCTACCTTGACATTGTTGGACTACAGAGTTTGCAAAAACAGTTGTCACATCCTCGTATTCATTCCATACAGTCAGTTGATGCCCTGCTCTGAGCTGACTGCAAATACTCCGAGACTTCTGTGAAATCTCTTCATCGCTACCACAGTTCACCTGGTAAATAGGAATAGGTCTGAGGGTTCAGAAAGAATTAGGTAGCCATTTGTAAACTGGCAGTCTGTTTTTTCTCTGTTCTACAGGCATGCATTTTTTGCAGATGCACTATTCTGTTAAACCTGGTCTTCATATTCTCTATTTCGCTAATAGAAAACCAGTCTCCTTCTTTTGCTTCTAGGATCTTGGAGCTACTCTTTGTACAGACATAGTTGATATATCTGTATTGGCTTCCTTTTTTTTTTCTCCTCCCCTTCTTTCTTTTTAAGCAGAAGACTGGACTTTTTTTGGCTGAAGCAGTCACCACTATTCAATTGTTTGGAACAAGTTTGGACAAATACACAAGAGAAATAACTTAAGCCTTGTTTTTTATGTTTTCATTTGGCAACAAGCAATTGGCATCCAATTGTTAGGTATTCATAACTCCTAAACTGTTACTTTCTATGGTTTCTGTGGTTTTCTCTGGACTATTTTCTGAGTATGATCTCTGCAACGGAGTGGAAATAACAGGTACTAAACGTGGTTGTGAAGTTCTCTGTTTTTAACCCTTTGCTTTCTGAAGGTCCCGCCTCATGTATTTTTCAGTAATAAAATGACTCTTTTCTGTCTTGCAGGTTTTGCAATGGGGAAAGCAGGTGACAGGATGAATGCTTTACGGAAAGTATGTTGGTTGAATTATTTGTTGCTTGATGACAAGCAGGAATAATTCATACCTACACTTTTTTTTTTTAATAATCAGTATGTTTTGTAGTCTATGCAAAGAAGTAAGTCCATGTACATGATCTGTCCATCTTTATAAAAGTAATCATAGAATCATTTAGGTTGAAAAAGACCCTTAAGATCATTGAGGCCAACCATAAACCTAACAGTGCCAAGTCCACCACTAAACCATGTCCCTAAGCACCACATCTACATGTCTTTTAAATACCTCCAGGGATGGTGACTCAACCAATTCCCTGGGCAGCCTGTTCCAATGCTTGATAACCCTTTCAGTGAAGAATTTTTTCCTAATATCCAGTCTAAACCTCCCCTGGCGCAACTTGAGGCCATTTCCTCTCGCCCTATCACTTGCTACTTGGGAGAAGAGACTGACACCCACCTAGTTACAACCTCCTTTCAGGTAGTTGTAGAGAGCGATAAGGTCTCCCCTCAGCCTCCTTTTCTCCAGGCTAAACAAGCCCAGTTCCCTCAGCCGCTCCTCATAAGACTTGTTGTCTAGACTCTTCACCAGCTTTGTTGCTCTTCTTCGGACACGCATAATGAGGTTGCCCTGCAATGAGATTCTGTTAATGCACTCTTTATTTTCTTTCTCCTCCCTTTTCTATGGCCTATACCTATCCCTCCGTGCTCGCTTGTTTCCAATATCTATATAGCATACAATAGCAATCTGCTTATACAGTTGGTGTATAGGAATTTTTCTCTTACACATTTATAATGACCCTATTAAGGCTCCTTTAGTCTTCAAAATGTTACTTGTCCATCTACATTAATCTAGTTTATGTTGTAATGCTCAACTAAGCTATCAAAGTAGCAATGCTAAAATACACAAAGTTTGATAAAGTTGTTACTATATTGAGAAATCTTTTTAAATATTAAATTTGGTAAGAGAAAGCAGTTCTTTAAAGAGAACATTTTCATTTCCAAAAAGTAAATGGTTTAGATGTGGCAAACCTGTTTTCCGAAGTTTTCTTTCTTGCTTTTTTTCTGTCTAGTTAACTGAACAATGGTAAATTTCAAATACTTTGCAGAAAAATTCAAGAAAAAATATTTTCTGCTTTTATTCCATAGGCAAAGAATAAAGCAATAAGCTGCTTACATTTTATAGAGCGGTATCAGAATCACACAAGTAAGTATTATGATTTTTTTAGACGACTCCTTTAACTTCCAATAAGTACTGAATATACTAACAAGAACTGGTTGCAATTAGTTACAAAGCATAAAAAGATGTTAACTAAAACCTTTCTGATCTGATGCATTGTATTATTATTCTGCGTGCATTATTTTGTTTCTTCAGCATATTGTATGAAATCTTAGCCCCAGACTGTTTTAGCTAGACAGTGGTAATGTACATAGTCTGTCAGTCGCCGCGTAAAGTAAATCACCATTAGCTGGAATGAGTATGTGGTTTACTCTTTACTTTCACTTAGGCTTGTATCAATAGTTGTAGGAAGGTCCACGAAGAAAAGTTAAAATTATATAATACGAGATGTTGTTAAAATATTGAGAGATTTATCTCCCTTCTAGTCTCCTGCCTTTGCCATGTTTAAAATTTGGATACCTAATACATAGTATTTCAGGCTCTTTAAAAATGGGGGCGGGGGAGGGGGTAGTAGCAAGATTAGATCTCTGCTGGCACAATTTCAGTTAAGGAAGTCAAATACTGTCTGGGCATATCTTCTCTACAGTGAACTCCTCTGTGCTTTTCCCCTTTGTATGTCAGAGATATTGACTCAATCTTGTTGACTCAATCCATGTATGCTGACAAAGGCCAGCAGCTGGGAAGAATGTGGGCTGAAGAAGTCAGTCTGATGTTTCGTAGTAGCTTTTTGGTAATTCAATTTCATACCATACAAGTCCTCTCTGATGTCAGATGTGGTACCAATATACCAAATAACCAGTTATCTTTCAGAAAAATTTTGAAAGATAGTACCTTACAGAGTGTGTGTAGATAAATATTCAGTATAGTAAAACTTCAGTTTACAAATACAAAACTGCAGTTATCCTCATGAGTTTATTCCTTGAGCATTATTATTTCACACTAACAGACTGGGGATTTGATTAAAAACTGGTGGCGTTTCCACCATGCTTTCCATTCTACTTAACATAGAAGTTGTCTCTGAGCCATCTTGACTGCAGTGTTAGAATCCAATATGCAGAGACTGAGCCACTGAATTAGATGTATATAACAGCCACCCACCAGAGGATATGAGTTTGGGGTTCCTTTTGAAGCAGAGAGAAGCAGGAAGACTGGAATGGTAAATATTCTGTATGGAAAATCCAAGAACACTGAAGCCTGCGGGGAAAACTTAGGTTAAAAGCTGAATTATTATAAATACCTGATTATGAGGAAGAAGGTTAAATTGTATCACATGAGCTTACTTCAAAGCTAAATGATGATCATTTGAGTCATACAGACACTTCGTGTTTTTCTAGTGAAGCTTGGTTTTGTATACAATAGTAACATAGTATTCACAGATTTGTAAACATTCCTAATCTATTCCAGAAATTTACCTAAATTAACCCTTCTCTTTAAAGAACTCAGAGGAGAGTAAAACCAACTTCCCATTCACAGTTCCGCAAAAGAAAGGCACTCCTTAAATGTGCTAAGCTAAAGCTTTTCTAGAAGGAAGAATTTAGCTGTAATGCCTTTTTTTTTCTCCCCTCCAGTTTACCATGACGTTACAGTGAAATTTAAAAGCACAACCATCCGCATGAAGAAGCAAAACAAAGGTAATTAAAGCTGCGTGGAAATTTTGAAGTTTTATTAATTACTGACTGGTATTTATTTGATGTTATATTTGTGCAGTGTCTATTTACTTCAGAGACGGATCATTTGGTGCTAGTCTACCATGTTTCAAATGTTGAAGATGATAAATTACTTTTCATTAGAAATACCTACTGTTGATGACGTGGCTTTGTTATTGTAAATTGGGGTTTGACCCTCGTACACTGGTGGGAGTTCTCTTCCTGGTTTTCTTTCATGCTTCCTAAGTGTAGTTCCTTCAGCTCTAAATTATCTAGATGTGGAAAAGTCTAATCTAATAGCATAGATGTTGGAGGCAAAGGTCTTTAGAAAAACCCTGCAGGTTTCTTTTCCCACCATATGCCCTGCGCATGCTTTAGAGAACTGATAGGCTCATTCCATTAGTCTTCAGTGATTTTTAATCACTGTTTTCAAGACAAGATTGAGAGGTAGTTTAGTATGCAGTAGTGGGAGTGCTTTAAATGGGAATCAGAGTGCAAGGTGCATCTGTGTGCCTGTCGCTCCTAAACCCATACTGGGATAGCATGGGCAGATACCCTCCCTCAACTGCCTCAGACTACCTGTGGTCATGAGCTGGAGCCAGGACAGCATCCAGCCTGCTACTTCCTCGAGACCATAACTGCTTTATTTTCCCTAAAATCAAGAGCTCCCCATGTAGAAACTAGAGGAATTATCTACCCTGGTTGTTCACCATACCAGCACAAAGACCATCTCATTGTTACAGAGCAGCAGTGTTTTCATTTCTCCATCTTTACAAGCTGTTCTTCACTTTGATCCCAGTTGTAGTACAGGCAAATGCTTCTTTAGACTCCTATAGGTTAGGTGTGAGTAGTAGTGAGTCCATGCCTGGTAGCTCTCAGTTCACAGGTCTGTTCTTCCACAAAGCTACTGTTAAGTGATGTTAGATTTGCAGCTGCCTCCTCCAGCTGCTTCAGCCCTGGGCCCTCCTGCCCAACCACTGGACCCAGGGCCTCTGCTCAGGCTGAGGGATGCGTCTGTCACTTTCCCGTTTGCAGGTTCAATCAGTAGCGAAGCTGAGTATGCATCCCAGAGACACACGGACACACGCAGGCACACAGGACACTGACACGGTTGGCCACACTCAAGGCACTGCCTTCAACAGCACCTACGTACAGGACTCATAAACATAAACGTGGACAGCCAGGTCCCCACCTCCTCTTCAGGTGGCAGAGAGAGAAGATCACTGGTGCAGGCACACACAGCACTCTCCAGGTTCACAAGCACACACACATTTGCGGATCCCTTGAGTATCAGCACGGTCCCTCTGTCCGCCCAGCACCCCTGTCCAGATTCTGGGTCCTCTTACCCACTTCACAGGTCCCCTCCTCGCTGGCTTGTCCAGCTTGATGCTCACTAGCCAACACACGTGCACTCACACACTTGTCCCTCATGCACTCCACATTCACAAGTCCCCCTGGGGATACAAGCACGGACCCCCTGTCCTCCTGATACCCCAGCCCAGACCTGAGGTCCCCTTACTCACTGGCGAGTCCAACTTAAAGTTTGCTAGTGAAAACAAACGCACACCTCATGTACACCAGAACTGGGGAAGATACAGATGCTCTGCGCCCCCAGCAGCCACCACCAGGCAGACAGGCCTCGTGGTCCTGCTGCAGCCACTGGTGGGTTTGTATAGCACTATCGATTCTCACATCCCTCCCAGTCCAGGTCTCCCCTGGCTTACAGTCTTACCAATTGCAAAGTCCAGGTTGATCTTCCGGGAAGTGGCACCTGAAGTTTCTTGATAGCCCATCAATTAGTGGTGATGTTTGTTTCTTGTCATTGTCTCTATGTTTGTTTTGTCAAGGTCTGTCTCTGTATATTTTGTTTCTGGTTTCCCCCTTTTTCCTCAATTTCCCAACTGACAAGGTCCCCAATCAGATAACCTCACTAGAATAAACATTCTCACATGATCTCATCAATTAGTGTGGCTGACCAGGTTTGGTTTTCATCACTGCATCCCTTATCATTTGTCGGTCATGTTTGTGTCCCTGTATGATCTTGTCACTCTCCTTCAACATACCCTTACAGCTACCAGTCCTTTGGAAGTACTTGCAATTAAAAATACTTGCAGTCCACAGTAGTACTAAATCACTGACAATAGTTGTGAAGTATGGCAACTCATCATGTCTAGTGTCAACAGTTCTGCACCAGCAAGACACAGCACAGATTTTATCGTGGGACTGGAAATTGACAGAGGGCCATGACTGTGTTCCCCTCCCAGCTTCAGCCGAAGAGATACACAGCCCACCACACATTGTCCCTCAGTTGTGTGTATGCTGTCTCTAATAGCTTCCACGTGAACGCTGACCTTTCAAAGACACGTTGCTGACTTTCTGCTGTCCCTTTCCTCACCTTCAGAGCTGTTGCAATATCTGCTTTGCCAGTTGCAAATTACAGGGATGCATCCAGAGCAACCTTGTAAACTGCTGTCATGTTCTTCAGGATTGCAACATAAAAAAGTTTTAACACGTGAGGTAGTTTGGGGAGCTAAAGGTTCGCATTATTTCTAATGCATTGCGGTTTTCAGTGTGATCCATTTTACCTTCTAGGTCTTTCTGTTTTGAAGACCTGCAATGATAACATCAGGTCATTTCTTTGCATGAATCTTTTGAGTTAGACCTTTATGTACAAAGGTTTGATTTGACTTGTTTAGCCTAACTTTGCTTTCAGGACAGATAAGGGTAGCTGCTGTTCTATAGAAAACAGATGTAGTTTGCTGCTGAGCACTCTTAATTGGTCCTCTAGTTTTAATATACAAATAGGAAACTAATTCATTTACATGGCTTTGTAAATCACTTCAGTTTCATTATGATAAGATCTAAACTGCAATAGCATTTAATGATTAGCTTATAATAAGTCAGAAACTTGGGATAATTTTCCAGTCAGAACACTGTCACGTTCAGCTACTTAATTCATCAATTTCTACAACCTTTGAGTAAGCTGAAGCATTGATGTTTTGGACATACTATTTGATTTTGTGATCTGGTATTCTTGTTCTGCACTGTCACATTAGTAATGTGAGAATATAATTATTAATGTTCCAAGTTACTAATGTACTTTGAAAGCATCTAAAATTGCTATGAACCTTCAACACAATTTTATTAGTTAATGACATTTTGATTCTGGGATGAGGGGTTTTTTTAATCAGTGTGACAGTAAAGTGATAGCATGGGCTTAGAAAAATCTTTACAAGTTAGCAGGTATGGAGTCAGACTGTCTTATCATTTACGTTTCTGCAGTTTTTCTGCATTTAAGGGGCTCTCAAGGTGGTAAATTAGGTAATTGGGCTATAATTTTTAAGATCACCACTTAAAAGAAATTTCAGTTTAGTCTTCAGTATAGTGAATGAAAAACATGCACAGAGCAGGAGTAGCACAACTGAATTACATATTTGACCATGCACATTCAAACAAATAAAGCTATTACTGTTAAATGGTAAAGGAAGGTTCGCATTAGATGGTGTTATTTTCTTGTAGTGGAACATAGAATAAGACATACCTTCCTACCTCATCTGACATGTTACATTCGTGAACCTCAGAAGCAAGAACAATCAGGGTCACCTTATGATTAATTTTACCTCACCAGACGGTTGTCCTAATGTATTTCCATTTTTTTATTAGATTCGAGAAACAAACTGCCTCTCCACTACCTTCTCTTTTTCCCAGGAGGGATCCTTTTGTAGCTGACATACTACTATTTCCCTGCCCAGTGAGGCTTTTCCATTCAACTTATGCAGTAAGAATTGCATATCACAGAATGGTTGAGGTCGGAAGGGACCTCTGAGGGTTGTCTTGTCCAACCTTCAGCTCAAGCAGGGTCACACTTGTGACCATGTCCAGACAGCTTTTGAATATCTCCAAGGATAGAGACTCCACAAGCTCTAAAGGGAACCTGCGCCAGTGCTCGGTCACCCTCACTGTGAAAAAGTGTTTCCTGATGTTCAGATGGTCCCTCCCGTGTTTCAGTTTGCGCTCATTGCCTCCTGTCCTGTCACTGGGCACCACTGAAAAGAGCCTGGCTCCGTCCTCTTTGCACCCTCCCTTCAGATATTCATGTATATTGATAAGATACCCCCTGAGCCTTCTCTTCTCCAAGCTAAACAGGCCCATCTCTCTCAGCCTTTCCTGAGACGAGAAATGTTCTAGTCCCTTAATCATTTTCATGGCCCTTTGCTGGACTCTCTCCAGTATGTCCATGTCTCTCTTGTACTGGGGAGCCCAGAACTGGACACAGTGCTCCAGGTGTGTCTCACCAGTGCAGAGTATAGAGGGGAAGGATCACCTCCCTCAACCCACTGGCAAGAGTCCTCCTAACGCAGCCCAGGATGCTGTTGGCCTTTTTTGCTGCAAGGGCACATTGCTGGCTCATGGTCAACTTGGTGGACCAGGATCCCCTGAGCCCTTTTCTGCCAAGCTGCTTTTCAGCCGTTCAGCTGGTATATATTGGTGCATGCGGTTCATCCCCAGGTGCAGGACTTTGCACTTGCCGTTGTTGAACTTCATGAGGTTCCTGTCAGCCCATTTCTCCAGCCTGTCAAGGTCCCTCTGGATGGCAGCACGACCCTCTGATTTATCAGCCACTCCTCCCAGTTTTGTATCAGCAGCAAACTTGCTGAGGGTACACTCTGCCCCACCATCCAGATCCTTAATGCAGATGTTTAACGATGGGGCCCAGTATTGACCCCTGGGATACACCACTAGTTACCGGCCTCTAGAGGTGATGCCACTGATTACCACCCTTTGGGCCCGGCTGTTCAGCCAGTTTTCTATCCACCTCACTGTCTGCTCATCCAGCCCATACTTCATCAGCTTCTCTGTGAGGATCTTATGGGAGAAAGTGTCAAAAGCCTTACTGAAGTCAAGACAGATAATATCCACAGCTCTCCATTTCATCATAGAAGGTTATAAGGTTGGTCAAGCATGACTTACCCCTGGTGAATCCA